CGTTTAAGTTCATTTCAGCAACAGCATTCTGTCATCCAGGAACTAAAAGATTTTCTGCCCAACGGAGCTCAACTTTGACATTTAAATTGGGTAAACACCAATTTTGCTAACTACGGAAATAATATCTTAAGCCCTTCCCCATCCCCAAAAGCCCCGCCCATCTTGCCCCGCCCCCCCAGAAGGCAGTGCAATCTACTACTGAGCTGTCTGTCAGTGTCTGTAGCCTCTTTTTATTTAAGTTCACTTTTGTTGGATTTGAACCACACGTGTTAATTTAAATAACTTTTTTGTAAGGTGTTTGTTGAAAGAAAGTGACGTTGCACTGACATGAAAACGTGTACATAAAAAAATGTGTTTTGTAAATAAGCCAATGAAAACTATGTATTTGAATATGAACTGTACAAAATACTGTACTTGTAGTTGTATATGGAGTGATACTGTTGATCTGTAACAAAATACCCAAGCAACAAATTAAATTCTGCAGAGGAAACGATGACGGCTAAATGAAATGTGTTTTTATTTTTGTGTGTGTCCTAAGCCAATACAGATTTAGCTTTTAAAGGAGGCAGGTTCAATATTTTATGTTCCTCACAGGGTGAATTTTTACATTATCTACTTTTGAATATCATGATGTCAATTTTTTACACCATTTGGAAGCTTTTTATATAGCTACTGTCATTTAATGTGCTAATTCTCAGGTTTTTCTAATAACTATTTACACGCCCCTTAGAAGTAAGTAGTAGGTTACAGCACAGGTAGGCTAACATTAATGATTTCTCCTTTTCATTCAGTGTCATTATAAGCCAAGGTCAATACCTCTGAATGGACTATCCATTAGGCTTTTTTTAGTTAAGCATGTGGTTTCCCTACCATGTCAATATGTCTGCTTTGATAATGGCAAACACCATGAATTTCAGCAGAAACCCTCAACAAGTTTTCCTAATGGCAATTATTTCCCTCCTCGCTGTACGTTTAGCAGTTTAGCTATACTTTGACTGCAGAGCTCAGCTAACTAGCAAATGTTAGCATTCTAACACTGAAAACAAAATGTACAACGTGCTTCACTACAGCATGTTAGCATTGACTTAAGTGCTAACTAGCGAACGTTAGCATGCTAAGAAGACAAGATGTTAAAACCTGCTAAACTTCAGCACGTTAGCATTTTCAATATGAGCATGCTAACATGACCACTAGCGCACTGTGCCATACTACCTACAGAACTGCTAGTTTGGCTAAACTCTTGTTTGTCATTCAGTATATGAAATATGAATATATGAAATTGTTTATTCCAGAATTTATTTTACAATAGGTTCTTAAGCCTCAAATTAGAACCAGTGCACTTGACACCGAAACATTGCCTTCTACACATTGTGTTTCACACAAGCTACAGGTAGGCTACTTTAATTTCCCCCTGAAATTCATTACTACTTTGTGGGAATGCTCATGCAAACTTTTGCTATTCCTTCAGCATCTTAGTTTTTTTTTATGTGCTAAAGATTGATTTAGGATTTAGGGACATTATCCTTTATAAAATGTGTCTTCTACAAAATATTATTTATGACCGAATACCTGATTCACTTCATCCTCTGCTGTAGGCTGTATTATACTTTACTTGTTTCACTTAAAGCACTGCTGTGCCTTAATACAGTTTCAACGAGCTGGTAGCACGTTTGCAGACTCTCCGTCATTTAAAATAGTTCTTCTTTTCTTTAATCATCTTTTTCTTATTTCACCAAATAGTTTGGCTCTCAATAACTTCAGCATACTTTCAGCTACAGAAACCATTTGAATATCAACATATGCAGCCTTTTCAGCACATGATGGGAAACTTTAAACTTTTTCAAAATATGTTATACTTTTTGAAATATTCAGTATATGGAAGTCAATAATGGGAGGAACCTTCAAATCCTCTTTTACCTACACCTTGTGCCAAATGCTACTCCTTCCACATACTTTCAGCTAGAGACTTCATTCCAACTTTAAAATGATCACAAGACCTTCACCTATAAAACGTGTTCTTCAGATTTTTCATATCTGTTACTCTTTTTGAGATATTTAACTTAGTTTGGAGCTTGGTAAAGAGGCCTTCTTCAGATTTTAACATTAGTGTGTATTGTGCCACTCGTTAAGTCTAGTGCTTTGATCTCAAAACAGAGTGGAGGAGAGCTTGAAATTCGCCCCAATTTTATTTTTAAACCTGCCATAACTCCCAAACCCTACCCTCCTTGGACATAATTTTTCATGAAAAACGTAGGAAAACCTCTCGTTAATAAAAAAATTAAACAAAAGGCCTCTTGAGGGCATGAAGTGACAAAAACGTTCAACATGTCTCCATTAAGGCCCATTGTAAATTCAGCCTGATCTGTCCTCAGAGCACCAGCTGCACACCTTTAGTAAATTAGCCAAAAATGCCACATTATTGACCCGAAAGTGCACAAAAAGCAGACTCCGACGCTCCTCACGGTCCTGACATCCTCCACGCCTTGACATTTTACCGAAAGCAGCTACCGTTTTTAAACTATAGTTAGAAATGTAAGAGGTTTATTTCCCATTCAGAACAATGGAAAGGCTCTCCTTTCACAGCACATCTCCATGGAAACCTCTGATCTCTGGGCAGGTGTTCGATAACGTTGTCACCATGGTAACCTTTGATCTCTGGGCTTACACACACAGGTGTTTGATAACATTCATTCACTACTACTTACATTTAATATCTAACTCCTTCAGCCTACTTTCAGCTATAAACCATTCAACTATTACATTATTCAGCTATTTCAGGGAATTGAGGCTATACATGTTGTTGTTTATACCTTTTTTAAACCTTTTCTTTTAAATATTAAGCTTCTTCACTATTTCTCCTACTCTTCCAGTTTAGCATTTCACTTCAAGTTTTTTGACTTATCAACGTTTAAGTTTTGGTACATTTTCAGGCCGTTTTCGATTTTATAATGGGTGTCTATGGGACGACTCTTCAAATCTTCTTTTACCTACACCGTGTGGAAAATGCTACTCCTTCCACATTCTTTCTGCTAGAGACTTCATTCCAAATGATCACAAGACCTTCAGCTATAAAACCTATTTTTCAGATTTTTGATATCTTTTACGGTTTTTGACTTATCAAAGTTTAAGTTTTGGTACATTTTCAGGCTGTTTTAGATTTTATAATGGGTTTCTATGGGAGGGACTCTTCGGGGCTAGAGTGTGTGACATCATCACTTAGAGTGTAGAGGGTCTTAAAAATCTTCGAAAAAAATATTTTAAAACTGCTCTCAGAGCCAAAATATACACTCTATTCAAATAGTTTCAAAAGATTTCAGGAGCATAATTAGTCTGGCCTGCTCAATTGCCTTCATCATATCAAACGGACCCACCAATCTGGCCCAATAGTGATCTGAGTGACAAAAAGTCCACCTATCTCCCAATAGACTCCCATGTTAAATTTGTCCGGAACTTTCTTCAGAACAGAAAGAAGTAAACTTTAGACAAACTGCTCCCATCTTCACATTTTACACACAAAACCCAAAAAAACAACATATATCAGTTCATTGGGGTTCCCTGATGCTCACTTTGTGGTCATTTTTTTATAGGAGCCATAGTTTTTGAACAGGTGGCAAAATTGTCAGATATAATCCTCAATGCATTCTTAATGGGACTCAGTGCTGCAGTTGGTAACCATGCTGTTTCTGGGCAGATCGGGGCCACACACCTGAGTGACATCATCTAATCAGAGCAGACACGCCCACAGACAGACTGGTACACGCACACACAAACAAAAGTTAGAAATGCAAGAGGTTTATCTCTCATTCAGAACAAATGGAAAGGCTCTCCTTTCACAGCACATCTCCATTGAAACCTTTGATCTCTGGGCTCAATTAATTTTGATTCAAATCATTTCACTTTTCTGCATTTCTCCGCCAAGTTCAGCAGCACACTTACTTGGTTTTTGTAGCTAAGAGCAGCTACCATTCAGCTAATAACATATTCAGCTAAATTCAGCCACAAATGTTCACAGTAAACAGCATTCATCCGCATTTTCAGCAGGAAATGCATTTTCTAGTTGACATTCTGCTTCCTGCCTTTGAAGTATCATGTATCTCTGCAGATGGTAACCACAGGCAGGGTCTCTGCAGAAACGTCCCAGAAGTAAACTGCTACTGAAACAAAGATGCTTATACTTTTCCTCTATGCCTTTTACGTAGTGCTGGTTTACATGTTAAAATGTTCTAGGCCCTCATAGCAAGCATTATGGATCGACTATGGCTGCTTTATCAGTTAAAGTGTTCATGTGTTATCAGCTGGTGGATTGTCATCATCCTGCAGTAGTCTCTGGTTTCAACTGCGATACTAAACTCTACACTCGCAACTCCATCCCACTTAGTTTTACTTACATTTAAGTGGCAACTATAGCTTGTTACTATACTGATTACATTTTATTTTACTTGTTAATATTGTTATACAGTATATTAAACCAACAACAGTATATAAAGCAGGTCAATTAGTTACACGCCAACATTAAAATGCTGCGTACACATTATGATTACACTATAAAAATCCAGAAATAAAATAAATACCTTTACCACTGATGGTGGCACTTATTATAATATAAGTTTAATAGTATCGAGGGTCTGGAAAACATTTCATTTTCTCTTCACATTTTTTCTCAGAAATTCAATTAATCCACAAATATTTTAGAGTTTTTGTTGGAAATAATCTGTTAAACTGACAGATGGAGGTTTCAAGGCAACACAATTAAACTGGTATATTTATTGTTGTTTCATCTCATACCTAATAATCTAATCAGTGATTCAATCACTCATTGCTTTACTGTCCCCAGTCACCCCCATCTAAAAATAATTTGAGATGTCTTGAAAAGTTGATTTGACAATAGTTAAAGGTTTAGTGTTCAGCGTATGGATACAGATGCTGAGCATCAGGCACATTAAGAATGTGCTACAGAGTGCCATGCAGCTCAAACCACCTCTCGCTACTTCATTTCCTCTGCTCATGTTGTGGTTGACAGACAATGAGCGCTTTTCGTGGTGACAATATAGACGGGCAGGAGGGTTAACTCAACACATGGTGGAATTTTAAGCTCCAACAGAGACAGACAGACAGCTTCGGTTTCAGCTGGGTTCTGATCAGCATCAAACTGGTGTTCATCAAAAAACACAGGTACAGCTTTTAAGAATCATAATAGAGCATTTCATGTGATTGTATGAGCTCAATGTGTCTTTTCGGTGCGTTCTTATTGTTTTGGGCTTCAGGTTTGAAAGGATGTTCTCACAGCAAACTCCTAAAACGTTAGTATCGTACCTCCTCTTGTTATTAATGACATACAAGATAGTTTGTTTGATTTATGATTACGTATACATCATGAATATAGTCCCTGTTTATTCTTTTTGACTGTGTTCTTTTAAATGCTATAATATTACCTTTTAGAATGTGGTGACATTCTGTTATAGCCATGGAAGAAGAAAAAATTAATGATACCAGCAGTTCAGGTGAGCTCTGAGGTTTCACAGATAACATTTACATCTATTTGTGTTGACCGCCACATTGTGAGAGCATGGTAGAGCTAACTGTTTGTGTATTGTTGGATCTTTCAGGCCATCAATTGGGACCACCTGTCTTCATCCTCACAGGGGCCCTCTCCATCACGGTCCTGGTGTTCACAGTGCTGGGGATCGTGTGTCTCAGAAAGTAAGGCAGGCTGAAATGATTTCACAAGCAATTTACTGGATGATTTGTCCTCATGTTTCATTTGATTAATCTGAGTTAGGTTTGACTAGGGATTTCATTTCAATCTTTATTTCGAACCGATTAAAAAAAACAAATGTGAAAAACAGAATACCGCATTGTTAAAATACAGTATTTATTAATGTTCATAATAATATGTATATATTCAACAAAAATATTCATAATAATATATATATATTCAACAAAAATGTTCATATTAATATGTATATATATTCAACAAAAATATTCATAATAATAATAAATCATATGTGTCCGAAAGGGAGCATTTTCTTTTTCAAAAGTATAACATATTGGAACATATCAACAAGTGCAGGTGCCTTTGATTAAGTACTTGTAGATCCTATTACCTGGTTCAGGTGAAAGGAAAACTAATGGTGTGGTTTTCCTACCATGTAAATATGTCTGCTGTGAAAATGTCCAACACCATGAATTACAACAGAAACCCATAACAAGTTAACCTAATGTCTTGGTAGTTATTTCGCTCCAACACTTTACTTGCTGTACGTTTAGCTGTACTTTAACTGCAGAGCTAACGAGCAAATGTTAGTATGCTAATACATAAAACAAGATGAGATTACCTGGTAAACATCAGCATGTTGGAATTGACTTACAGCTTATGTTAGCTTCCTAAAAAAGAAGACAATACAAGTTAAAACCTGCTTAATTTAAGCCCGTTAGCATTGTCAATGTGAGCCTAGCTATTAGCATGCTAACATGACCAGTTGTGCCATAAGTACAGCCTACAGAACTGTTTTTGCTAGGCGCTTGTTTTTTTTCATTCAGTTTAAGAAATATTGAATGAATTCCAGATTTGTTTGTGAAATATGTTTTGAGGCCTTGAATTGGAAACAGTGCAGTTAGCACAGAACCATGGCCTAGTCCAAATGTTGTTTCACATACAGTTAGGCTATTTATATTTCTCTGTAGCTTCTTTTTTTCAACTCCCCTGGCACAGCTTCATTTGATTTCTGATGGAATCAGAGGCAAACCATGTGACAATACGCACAGTGTTCTGTGTTTTACACTTTTTTTTCATGCAGATATCGTTCTTTGGTCCGGACCATTCGAGAGCTGCGGGGCAGCAGGTTGTTGATGACTGCAGTTCCTCGGCTGGAAACTCTGATCGCGCCAGCAGTGGTGGAGGAAGAAGATCAGCTTACTCAGATCCCCCAGATCCCCCAGCAGCAGAGCAGGACAATCAGGCTCTCCTCTCGGAGGCTATGGAGAAGCTTGCAGCAGGTACATTACTGTCTTCATGTCATCACATGATTCCCAGATATTTTGCTATTTTTGTAGTGCTTTATTTAGTTAGTCATCTGAAGCCACAGGATTGGAAATCTCAGATGCAAGAACAACTAACCGGAGTGTTCTCTGTAGCCTACATGTGACACATCTATGTCATCTCACTGTCGATTTACAGTACCATTTCTGATCATCTCTCTTTGGTTGCAATATATGTTATTACTGTAGCTTAAGCTCCGGTACAATGTGGACAAAATACGTTTGTGACTGACCAGTATGGTGTTGTTTGTCCTCTCAGTGTCCTGTACTTACCCATTGCTGTTCTGCCCTGATTTGATACTGCAACATTACCTCCTATGGCATTTGTTTAAGGGTCCTCGTGTTACCAAGTCAGACCTGAACCTGTTGCAGCTGATCAAAGCAGGAAAGGAGGGTGTCTTCTACCAAGCCAGGATGACCAGGGGGACGTGTAAAGGCCACAGCATGTTCACCTGCAAGATCAGCAAGGAAGGTACACATTTCTCTGACTGGAGGTTTGGACCTACAAGCATTTCTTTGAAATGGAAGCAGTGATAATCAATCCGTTTTGAGGTTAAGGTGCAGAGGCAAAGATCAAAACTTTATCAGTTTTCAATGATAATAGATGTGTACGGCCATCCTTAACCTGTTAAGCCCCAAGCCTGTTTTTCAGGTTTCAGGCTCGAAAATGACATGCCCAGAACAAATGACTTTAACTTCACTTCTAAAAGGGTTAAATTAATAATCTTTTTTCTCAAAGCAATGTTACATCTGTGAGTTGGATGTAGAAGTGTCAGAATCAATATAGATGTTTCTGTGTCAGAGAAAATTCAGATGGAACATAGTAAAAAAGTGTAAATTCTTACCTCCGCCTAAAAAAAACCCATTACTTATAGTGAAAACCACCCTTGAATGATGGGTTAGTAGCCTGAAAGCTTTGGGAATTCAAAGTATAACTAATAATAAGTACCCTGTATCAAGATTGAGGCAAAACAAGTGAAAATTGACCTTTTTAGAGAGGTTTAGGGAAAAAAAGTCAAGGCGGACTAAGCTTTGGGCACGTCTGGTTCCATCAGTGCCATTTGACCTTTTTCAGGTACCAGACAGTAAAAATCATTTTATAACATTGAATCATCACTATAGGTATTCATTCCATAAAAAAAAAAAATAAATAAAAAATAAAAAAGATTCTAAAATTATTGTAAAATAAAATAAATAAAAAAATATATTTAAGTGTGTGTGGGGTGTGTGTGTGTGTGTGTGTGGGTGTGTGGGAAGTTCCCTCTTTGCATGAGATGCATGTTTACTTGCACAATAAAAATTAGGAAACATAGGAAACATTTGACTCCAACTGGAGCAGATTTATTTAAAAAAAATGTTAGCACTAACACAATAACACCACACTTTAGGTAAAAAAAAAAATTGGGTGATAAAAACTCTCAAAACTTTATACAAACCAAACCCTAAATGTTATGGTATTATTGCAAGTCATGCCATGCCCTGAAACAGTTCTTTTTGGGAGTGAAGCACAGAGGGACCAGACACTTCCTGAAGTACACAGGTGTCTTCACCCTTCTGCTGCCAGCATCAGAGCACTTCCTGCAGTACCTCCTGACCGTGGTGGCATCTTCCCCATAATGCTCGGGCATGCATGTCAGTGATGGTGTGGGGGTTGGTGGGCGGGGTGGTGCTGCTGCAGGGTCTCCAGAAAACTCAACCATTTATTTTGCAAGCTGCTCCCTGAAGGACTTCTGGGTGTGTGGGTTCGTCCTGCCGGGGTCACCCCTCCTCTTGTGCAGCTCCTTTTGGAGAAGGAAGCTGTTCACCACTGCAATGTCCATAAAATGGTAAAAAAAAGTCTTATACCATTTCATCGTTTTCTGACGAACGCTGTAGTATCCAATCAAAGCGTCGGACACATCCACACCGCCCATGCTTCTGTTGTAGTCCACCACAGCGTCAGGAACGGTAACATTCTTTGTCTGCCACACACCAGCCTTTTTCATGTTACCCACTGAAGGGTGCCGTCCGAAGGCATCATCAGAACCAAATTATCTGCAAAGATTTGTGATGGAATTCTTAGCCCAACGAACAGCAGTCCCCCTCCCCCATGACTTCGCCTTGAAAACCTGTCCTTTTAAGGTTTTAACTTTGGCAAAATGATTTGTAACTAGAATTGATAAGAATCAGTATCAGTGTGTTTAAGACAGGAAATGCTTCTTTTGTTATCTTTATAGTTTAATTTTGGAGAAGGTTCCTTAACAATTGAGTAAATGATGCCACGTTTCTTCTGCCTAAGAGATCAACAAATTATAACCAGGACTTAAAGTGGCTACACTAAAACAGCTAAGTTGAAAGACCAGCTACACTCGCAATGTATCATAATATTAGCTACAGTAACATTGGTTTATATGTTAATGAATAAGGTAGTCAAACGACATGAAACTGACACTGTTTAAGATGTCAATGCTGTGGTGAGAAAGCGTGAAGGAAAATATGAAGATAAAACACTCAGCCCACCTTCTTCCTCTCCTACACAAAGTGAGTGCTGTGGGTTGTCCTCACACCTAAACAGTGTCTAAAACACAATCTACCTTGAAAACCACCAGGACTTTAGAGGTGCTCTCAGTAATTCCATTATATTGACATTTCATTTAATAGTCAAGTAAATGTATGTATTATGATAGGTCAGTCCACCCAAATGATAGATAAAAACACTTTGTCACTCATCCTTGGTGGAATTTGATGTGCTATGGTTATAAGATAGCCGTGGACTATTTATTCTGTAGAAGGAAGTTGCATTTCCCAAGATATATAACACTAATAAGAACATACAGTAGAGCTATACAAATGAATTGTGGGGTTCCCCAAGGCTCAATTTGAGGTCCTACACTTTTTTTTTGCTATACTTTGAAATGAGACACAGTATTATTTCCATACTTATGTTACATTGCCAAGGACTTAATTAAGATGTTAAGATATGGATGGCTGAGAATGTTCTTCATCTCAATTAGGACATAAACAAACTCTTTGAAAAATGGGTTCAAAACTTTAAAAACTGTTTTGTTTTTTGTGAAGCACTTTGTTTACCTTTATTACTTTTTTTTGATTGATTCATATCTTAGATTTCAATGGAGATGACATTGAGAAGTCTCACTCACTTCCTAGATGTAGACATTTGTTGGCCCAGTGACAGAGCTATAGTTACATTTTCTCTCTTTTTTTTCTTCAAGGTGTCCGTCCTAAGCATGTGGACACGGAGGTTTCCATCATGAGAAAACTGGTGCACCACAAGAACATCCTCCAGTTACTGGACTGGAACACCACTGAGGGTGAGGGACATTGTGTCAGGAAATTGGTATGAGGACCCAAACGCAGTACAAAAGGGAATCAAGAAGTATTAACAAAAAGCGAGCTTTATTCAAAAGCTGAAAACAAACAAAGAAAAACAAAGAAACACTAACCAGGGGCATACGAGGAACAGGAACGAACAAACTCACGGACAGGGACATGCAGGTAACATTGACGACGATCAGACAAAGCGCTCGAGGAAAGACAGGACTAAATACACACAAGGGTAATCACAGGACAAGACACAGCTGGGAAGGGGAGGTGAAACACAGGGGCAGCAGGTGGACACAATAAGACAATCAGGCACAGGAGGGAAAAACACAGGAAGTAAGACCAGACAAGACACAAGGAGGAAAACATTTCAAAATTAAGGTGGAAAATAGCAACAAACCCAAACCCATGACACATTTATCTTCACACTGTATCCCTCTGTCCTCTTCTACAGTGCTCCTGGTTGATGAATTAGGATGATGTTCCTCCCTGTAAGTCCCCTTCCTCTCTCCATGTTTTGATTTGTGCAGAACCTTACATTCTGATCATGGAGTATGTGACATATGGCACTCTGAGGACCTTCCTGCAGACCAACAGAGCTCATTTAAGTGAAGACCCTGAGCTGCAGAGCCTCCTCACCATCGCCTCCTACCACATCGCTCTGGCCCTGCAGCACCTGCGCTCCAAAATGGTAGCAACAAAACCGGCTATTATGAAGTCGTCAGGTTCCATCTATCCATGCTAAGCAGTGTGTGTGGGCTCTTTTCTGCAGATTGTGCACTGTGACCTGGCTCTGAGGAACATCATGGTCAATAAGTTTCCCTGGGAGGTAAAGGTGGCGGAGTTCGGACTGGCTCGAGATTTAACGCGCATGACAAGCCGCCGCAGCAGCAGCAGCCGCTGGAGAAACCCAAGGGTAACTAACACGCACACGCACACACACACGCACGCACGCACACACCCCCACACCCCCTCACACACATAGTATGCCAATTTGAGTCAAACCTTACATCAGACCCTTTTTGTCACATTTTATACCAAATTGACACATTTGACACAACGTGTGACACTGTGGTCACATCTTGTATCATTGCCATATACATTTGTTACACATGTCACCATTTGGTGAAATGCGTGCATGCTTGTGTGAAAATGATGACAAGTGGTTGTCAAAAGAGAGAAAATATACACTTAGCAGCCCTTATGCTGCAAACAGACAGCGCAAGGTTAGCTTGCAGCCACATGAGACTAACATGTAACACACACATTTTTCAAACTGATATCTCAGTTCTACCTCCATGAAACCATATTAACTGTCCCTAAGTGTATGTTTGTCTGTGTGTATTAAGGGGGGTTAGCAACATCCTCTGCAACAGGAAACAACAGTTTCAGAGAAATGTGGTCTTGATTTAGAGCAGTAACGTGTCATTCAGTCAACACAGCGGTTATTCATAATTTCCACCTTGAGCTCCCTTGTGTTGTGTTCGAAAGCTGTTACCGTTCACAGGTCAATTTTGACCCATGATTTATCTCAGTCCAAAACACTCAATAATAATGATTATCATCCAATATTGTTTTAACTACATCATAACTAACTTATTATGCATTCATAACCGTACAATCCTGTTCCAATATTATGGCCCCAAAAAACATTACACCACATATTTAAGTAAAACATGTGATTCAATTCACTCATTATATTCACTATAGTGAAGACAGTGGATCATTACGTTATCTGACTATAATAGACTAATATTAGAATACAATCTCCCCAAAAGAAGCTTTAAATTATTGTTACAGTGTATGAAGGCGGTGGGGGTGGGGTGTCTAAAGTCAAAGATGAATCTTGATTGGGCCAAATTTGACCCCGAGTCACCGACAACAATGCTGCTGGGTCTTCCCAGACCCGAACACCAAAATATACACTTTTTTTTTTAAAGACCTTCAGACTTGGCTAAAATGGTCAAAATCAGTTTTTTAGTGTTTATATAGCTGTTGTGGAGGATATCATGAAGCGTAGTTATTATATCATTTTAACTTGAAACGGGTCAAGGGAGACCCGAACACAACATTAGGGTTAAGTCTACTAAAATGATATCAATATATTAAAGTTAGCAGTGCCACTGTATACTGATGTCTCAAATAGTTATTAAATGTCATCTTTATTTCTGCTGGTCTATGGTGTGAGTTGAGGTGCTGGTCACACGTTTTTTACAGGTCACATTTCATCACATTTTCCATTGTATGTAACTTGACAGCAGCGTGTGCCGCTGCGATGGTACCCACCGGAGTACTTCAAGAACAACTATTACAGCTTCAAAGGAGACGTGTGGGCCTTCGGCATCGTGCTGTGGGAGATGCAGACATTTGGTGAGGTGGTTGTTAGTGTAATAGCACAAATGATGTGGCAAAGAATGATTTATATACAAGGTTAGACCAAAGTCCAAAGTGATTCACCTCCTGTTTGACTGCCTTGTTTAGTTGTATTTGTATTAACATATTCTTAAGGGAAGAATCACATTTCGTACAACCCTAACACAATGTTATTGTGGGAAACATTTTCAGAGACAGCAGTTAACTAAAGACCTTGAACTTTTTAATTGCTACACATTTACAGGTAGGTTTGTTTTCCTTTGGAATACATCTCATATGTTATCACATTTTCAGGTACACTGCCATACCCAAACCTCGAGACATCAGAAGCGGTCATGTATCACATCTGTATTGGTCATAAGAACACAAACCCTGAAGGCTGCAGACCAGAGATGTAAGAAGAAACTCACAATTACAAACAAATGTTTTGTCTTTTCAAAAGCTACATTAAATAAGCAGTTTTTGGCAGCTAGTGAATAGTCTCAATACGCCAAAATCATTGTTAAATAAATTGGTTGCATCTTTGAGTACCATCAATCCAAAGTAATAATATGCAGCTCAGGAAATAAGATGTCTTAACTACAGCCACAGTGTGGGAAAAGCCTCTGTGTTATCAGAGGCAGAGCTCATGACAAAACAGTTAATACAATAAATCAAATGTATTTACCAAAACTATTGCTGTATATGAATCTGGTATCTGATTCTCATTGAGTCATGATCCAAGTTTGCACTATAAAATTGTGTTGTGTGTTTTAATATTATGTATGATACTTCAGTAGTTTATTGCGTGACGATACTTATGTTTGATTCCACAGACTTCATATCATGAAAGACTGTTGGCTGGAGCCCTACACTCTGAGACCCTCGTTCACAGACATCGTCCGCATGCTGGAGAACATCATGGAAAGCGATGCGGTAAAGAGCAGCTGGTTCACCACTTTTTTAATGATTTACAATAGTAATTGATCTTGGAAAGGCCATTAATGATCTATCTTTTATATCCTTACATTGTTGTTATTTGTAAAAATTAACAAATCATGTATCTTTCATTCTTTAAAAAATACTCAACCTTGATTAAATGTAGACTGCATGATTAAAGCCATGCAAATGACTTTACATACTTAAAATATTGTTTTTTTTATATTGCAGGATTATGTGGATGTTGAAAGTCCACTTTTGCTGAAAGAGGAGGCTGAATATCATGAAGCTTGATGTCTACGGGCAGCCAGCGTCACCTTGGAAGATGCAAATACCGTCTAAGTATCAGAAAGATGTTTTCTGAACAATTTAATGTATTTAAAACAAATCTAAATGGGTTTGTTTGCTTTGTTAAGGCTGCATTGATCTACTAAGCCTTTCAAGCGCTTTCTAAAATATAGCAACTGTAAAATGATCACACATCAACAAATCAACAGAGAGCATGGTCAAAATGATGTACTTATATATTCTTGTTAAGAACTGTAAATTATATTTTATGTTGTATTTTCCCCTTATAAATGTGTTTATATTTAATTTTGTATCCATCCTGTTGATAACTCATCTATAGCCTAATGTTGATTTTCTGTGATGCTCTTTTTTGCCTTGAGCTCTGTTCATGTTTACTTTCAGAAATACACTTTCTTATTTATTAATAATACATTTGTATTGCTTACTTTTGTATTTCAATTCCAGCTTTTAGATTTACGATTGATTTTTAATCACACCGTTAATCATTAATTATTATTTTCCTCAAACTTTAATGAATCAATAACATATAAGTTGCACATTATTACTGTTGTTTTATTAGGCATTGTAGTATTCTATTATATCAACATATGTCCATACCAACAATTAAATTAACAGATAATACTGAACAGAAAAAATAATAACTAGCTAAATATACGTTAAAAAAAACGTTCTCTTATGTTTCCATAGCATTCTATGAGCATTTCCGACACTATAAGGAGCACCTGAAGCGGCCGTGTGCGTTAAGGCCCGCCCCCTTCTCCTGCGGAAGCCAATGGGATTCCTCCTGGGAACACGCGTTTCTATGACACTCTGCTGCTGCGAACTTGATCCCAGTTTCTTATCTGTCATTTGCGCTGAATAAGATTTCGAAATGTCTATCCGCGTGTTTGAAATCCTCTTCTTCTTTTATTTCGCCTCTCATATTCCTATAACATTGTTTATTGACTTACAAGCCCTGCTACCGGGACATGTGTACCCTCAGCCGGTAAGTGACAGGACAGGAGGAAATAGAATCCACATTTCAACACGAGATACTTAAAGTGACTGAAACTTGGTGGCTATGACAACATTACTCTTTCTCTCCCCCAGCTGAAGGATCTTATCAGGTGGTATGCAGAGGAGTTCAAAGACCCCATGGTGCTGGACCCTCCACAGTGGTTCAAATCTTTTATTTTCTGCGAGGCTTTGTTTCAAACGCCTTTCTTTCCCGTTGCAGCTTATGCTTTCCTTAAAGGTCAGTAAATGGCATGCTAAATGTGGTTACAGAAATAAATATGTATTTACTGTTTTATTAATTTATTCCTGTATTGATCTCAGAATGAATATATTATTTTTTTGTTTATTGTTTGTATTCATTTATTTACGTTTTTGTTCATTTAATTCTATATTTATTTCAGCATTTATTTTTTCTTTATTCCTGTATGTATTTATTTATTTACGTATTTTTGATTACATTAATTATACTTTTGTTATTTTTCGTCATCCATAAATCCCTGTGCGGTGTCTATTTGAAGTTCATGTAAATTATTTTAAATAGGTTTGTTTTTTTCGTCGCCTCCCCAAATAAATTGAGACAAATGGTATTTTGCTTCCACAGCATTGAAAATGATATTTAAAAAAATCCCTCTGGAGGATACAAAAACGTACCTGTAGTTATGAATGAAGCTTCTTGTATTGGGCAGCATGAAGACTCTTCTTATATCTCTGTGTGTTTCTTGTCTTTCAGGTGGCTGTAAGTGGATCAGGACTCCTGCCATCGTGTACGCCACACATGTAGCCACCACTCTGGTCCCCATCCTCACTCACATCCTCTTCTATCAGTTCCCGATGAAGCCCCACCCCGGTCCCCAGACCCCACAGGAGCGCTGGCTGCTGTTCTCCATATACGTTCCCTACCTGCTGGTTCCTGTGCTGCTGCTCCTCACCATGCTGCTGTCGTCCACGTACAACTCCACCCCCAAGCCTGCACACACACCGGCCAAATCCAAGAAGAGGAACTAAGAAAGAATCACACTACAGCTGTCTAATTCACTCTGATTTTAGGAAGTATTTATCCGAATGAGCACAACAACAATAGTTTGTTGAACAGGTTTGATGTCTTTATCAGTACCAAACATTTAACAGACCATAGCCACTATTAATTCATTTTATTAGTTGCACCTGCGCTTTTCCTGCGATCACAAGTTAAACTCTGCCATGACAAATGTGTAAAGTCCTGCGCTTTTCTGTGTTTTGGTGTTCTTTTAAATAAATGTCATTTAAAGACTTGAGTGAAAAAACAAGCAGTTTGTTATTGCTGCACACGCATTGTATTGTCCACCAAAGACATGAGGGGAGCAGCATTTTAAGAAACACCTCTGCTTTCCATTTGAACTTACATTGTGTGTTTGGTTTGAAAGGAGTTTGCATTTGGCAGATCCATGTCTGCATTAATACTGCCCTCTACAACATGCAAGAGATTCAAGATTCAAATATTTATTGTCTACGGTGTAGTTGCAACAAATTAAAAACTTAGGTCACAGGTTCCTCAACAGTGCTACAGTGCAATTACAAGATATACATTTTTATAAGACTTAAATAAAATAAAATAGTCAGAAAAAAGAAAGAAATGGTGCTAGCTCAGGTGTTTAATAGTGTTATGCCCTCTAGGATGAAACTGTCCCTGAGTCTGGTGGTTTTAGTCCGGATGCTGCGGTACCGCCTGCCAGACGGCAGCAGACAGAACAGTTTGCGGCTGGGGTGATGGGGGTCTTTTGTAATCCTGAGGGCCTTCTTTCTGAGCTGCTGGGAGTAAAGGTCCTCCATGGATGGCAGCTCCGTCCTGGTGATGTGCTGTGCAGTTTTCACCACCCTCAAAAGAGATAGCCTTGGAGTTTAACCTTTAAGTATTTTATATAACACAGAGAGATTAGTCTGACTAGATTTGGTACATTTTAGGTACAAATCACGCGTCTTTGCAGATGCTCTTGAATGCTTTGTCAGATTCCCAGTTTTGTTCACTTTTATTAATGAATTAGGATATTTTCTGACTTTAGGTAATATTTTATTCATTATTACCCATGCTTTGAGCAGTTTCATATCTGTTGTTCAATTACAGAGGGGCATCAAACATTTTTATATTCCCCAAAGAAAGATATTATATATGAACCAGTGTCCACACCAAATCCTTATTTAGTGTTAGTATACATCTTAAAATTTTCGAGTTTGTCAGCAAAATAATACATTTAAGTTAAATAATTGAAACCCCCCTCACGTCCCTAAATAACCCTATTGTCCTCAATACGGGTCTTTCTATGTATGAGTTCAGCCAGGGGCATGAAGACAAAGCATTACTGTTTCCAGCCACCAGAGGGAGTCAGACCTAAACAGAGCAGGTATTGTAGGCTATGGTAAACTACTGTATAGACTTGCAATTTGTAAAATGTTTCTCCTCGTCGCCATTCAACATTTTCTAATGACACGTTTTCTTTTGTCAAGTACAGTAGACCTCCCCCGCTTGAAATAATGCTATGTAGTCATAATTGAGCAACATTTAGAACGTGATTAATCTGTAAATTATTGTTATTGTTTTTTCATTTTTTGATGGATACCATGTTACATATTAAAAATAAGAATGATATATATCTATGATTATTTATTAATAATAGATCAAAATCTGAAATATATATTTTACAAATGACATTTGATCAAATGTAATATGTAACAAACCAATCACTTGTTCAGTAATAATGATTTGAACCTGTACCTCTCAACAATCCGTGTATATTTGCATATATTTAATATATATGTTATCCAAATATAAATATAGTTAAAGTAATTTATTATCTGTAAATTAGTGCAAATACCAAATTACATGCATTTTTTTCGAGTCATTTAGATCCTCAGTAGACGGACTAACCCTTGCAGCGGAAGGACACGTCTCAAACAGCCCTCCGCGGACGGATAGGCTATAAAGCCAGAACATGGGACTAGTTTCCTGTATTGTTAAAATCACCGTCATGACGAGAGGACTTCCCTCCTGTCATGGTGTGACAGAGATGTACAGAGATTAGAACAGTACAATTTACATTAGCAGCTTAACGTACTGTACTTTAACGTGAAAATACAGTTAAGTGAAGGCGACAGCTTACTGCTCTCACTGCTAACACCAACGTTTCTTGACGACGGAGAAACAACGAAGTGTTCTTTGATGTGACACGGATAACATTAACTCTCACTGGGGAAACGTCAGTGTTTATCAAGAGGAGAAACATATTTCTTGTGGACTAATTGTGGAAGAAGACGGACCATAAGGACTTCAGAAAAACCACAGCTCTGTGTTGACATTGTGTTGCATTCTTCAGATTTTTAATGCTAACTAGTTCCCGGATGTCGGCTATCTTTACAGGTTGCTACATTAATACAGATAGAAGCAGGTTGAATTATTCAGTATCACCAGACAATGTATTTCAATTGTTAGCATGTTAGCATTGACCTGCTATGGGCAGCAGCTATGACGCTAGGTGTAGCCACAGGGTTATGTCACTGTCAGGCTAACAGATAGCTCGCTGTCTGCAGCTGCTCTCAGTGTTTGCATGGTCATGTCCAGCAGCATCATGTAGACTGTCCTCGTGAACCAGGTTACTGGGGACACACAGTGAGATAGTGAGCCTCTTAAGAGAGTAATGTAAAGCTGGTTTGCATCTATCAAACTGGACAGCTGGCACTGAAATACCAAGCTCAGGATTGTTGTTAGCCATGCTCGCCGTCTGTTCTTTGTGATATTACAAACATCCCAACCTACATAGAGGACGTGTGAATGCATCATGTCCTGAATGCATCTCTTATTTATGCACATCAGAGCAGCCTGTCATGGAGTAAATCCGCAGTGCAAGAAGCAGCATCACTAAGACTGAGAGCATCGTTTGCTCCAGGATTATTTTCTGAAGAGGAGAGCAACATATAAAAGGAGCAGCTGGACTATCATCCCACCACAATGGAGACTGTGGGAGATTTTGAGTACAGCAGGAAAGACCTGGTTGGACATGGAGCCTTCGCTGTGGTGTTCAAAGGAAGACACAGGAAGGTAAATACATAATCACCTGCAGTGTTGTCTTCCCCATCTCTCTCCCTCTTCTTCCTCAGGGCTTCATTTGGAAATCTGGGTCAGTCAGTGCAGCATGCAGTTCTGCAGCATCATATGTGGACTGTCACCTTTTTACAGGGTTCTAAAACTAGACTGCTTTCATGACTAAACATCCTGTCTGTTGTGTACAATCATGCTACACAGGTGATTTCAGTGCTATTTCATCAGCCGCACGTCTGTTATAAGTGTGCTTTTAAACCGCTTGGTTCATTCATGAAACGGATGAGTCAGGCAGCATAGAATGACTTGCTGACGTACTGTGGGAGGATGGGGGTGCAGGGTTTTTCCTGGGCCTTTTTAAGGAGCTTATGTAAGAGCTGCATATTCATACTGAAGCATTGACATCATATTCACAAATCTCAGCAATCAATACATTATTTCCGTGTGTTCTTTTATCATCAGGATACACTGAAAAAAACGGAACCATTGACTTGAATGTCAACAGATTTAATGTATTAGGTTAGTTGAAAGCAATAATATTACATTTAAATAAGAAAATATTAGCATCAACTTAAAATTATTGCTTTCAACTAACCTAATACAGTTATGTGACATTTTTTACACTAAAGTCAACGGTTCAGTTTTTTCAGTGTACAGGAACGGTGAGTTTGTTTTGACAGAGATGCAGGAGATGACATCATAATGCCCCCATGCTACCAGTGTGAAGCATATGGTCCTGAATTCCTCAATGAAAGCCACATTAGAGCTTCCCCACACTCCCTACTGTGAGCTGAGCAGAGCGGCCATCGATAACTAGTCCTCAGCCCGGAGAGACCCCATTTACATGCAAGCGCATACTAAACGCAAACGAACCGAATACGATATCAAAAAAGTCTTCCGTTCACACGAGACCGCTCGGGAGCACTGGAGACGCTGTAGTACATATGCCGGGCCTGTAAGTGGCGCTGTACTTTCGCCACAAAATACACCAAAAGCAGCAAAGAAGACCCCCGAGCATGGTTGCCATGGTTGCCCTTCTGTTTATGCCCCGCGGTGGATTTAGCAACATGTAGTTCATGTAATTCTCCATGTCCACTTGTTGCTGATGGTTGTGGTAGAGGAGCTGTAGATTTTGCACTAACATCTGTAGCATGGTCGAGCTGTAGATTTTGCACTAACATCTGTAGCATGGTCGAGCTGTAGATTTTGCACTAACATCTGTAGCATGGTCAGTAGCAGTAGCATGCTACAGCAGTGAGCAGCAGAGGTGGGGGGAGGTGGGGCGAGGTGGGGCTATGGCTTCATCGTTATCAGGAAATGATCGTATATAGGGCGTACACACGGAGCCGTTTGGCCCCCCAGAGCGTTCCATTTGCAGATCTATCCACCTTGGGACCCGTTATCATTTGCGGGGTCCGTTTCCGCGTTTCCGTTACGGCCTCGTGTGAACGAACGGGCGATACGAAAGAGAAAAGTAGCGGATACAACCGTTTGCGTTCTCGTGTAAACAGCACATGAGCTGAGTGTAGGCCTGCAAACAATCCCCTAGTCATCACTGGAAGCTGAGCGTCCAGCACATCCGTCCACCGCTCACATGCCTTCCTGTCCCGGTAACACCGTCCTGGCATGTGATCAGTGCATTAACTGTTTAAGTCCAATCATCCACATGCCATTTAGTCTATTTATAGGATTATTACCACCTTGGAGGAACAGGAAGGTTAGAGCCACATGGCTGCAATAAGTGTGATGGGTTGCTTCAGTGCCCAGGCAGTGTTGGATGGTACATATTGGCTCCTGTTGCACTGTCATATCAAGACATTATTCATCAGAGATAAGGCGGGACAATCTGATAATGGCTGTAGAAAAAGGGTTGCTGAAAAGGAAACCAATCGAATGAAGATGCAATTTGATGTTATGTTGATTGCAAGTTAATTCTCTGCAAATTTCACAACTTCTAAGAGACAAGTTGCAACATGGCATAGCAGCCAATACAGTCTCATTTTTCAAACAATATGAAACAAACCTGAAACCCATAGAACAGCTGTACAAGAGAGCTATCAAGGTGTTTGACAGAAAGCCAAATTCATATCACCACTGTACCATCCTAGAGAAATACAATTTCTTGAATTTTGACAATTTTAAGTCTTTTAAAAGTATGTTTTTTATAAATGTTTACATGGACTGGCCCCCCCCCCCCTTAGGGGAATTCATCCACAAAAAACACACTGGACGCTGCACTAGGTCAGAAACCAGAGGAGACTGTGAAGTCCACCGTAGACGGACCACTTTTGGACAAAATGTCCTCTCCATAAAAGGCAGCTCTTTCTGGAATAGCCTCCCAACTGCACTTTAACACAGACGTATCTCCTCTTGCACTTTATGTAGCTCTTGTATCTTCTCTTGCACTTTTATATGTCGTAGCTGCTATATTGTATTACCATGTGGTAAATGCTTGTGTATGCTGCTCTTGCTATCTTGCACTTTTTGCATATCATGTATTTTGTTTTTGCGATGTTTGTCAAATGTAATTTTCTTAAATGTTTTATGTGAGGGACTGCGGATGGAAATTAGCTCAAAGCTAAATCTGGCACTGTTACGCTTGATACATTTTAATGTTTTAAGTGTTCATTACTGTGCATTGTCCCTGCCAAATAAACGATTAAATAAAATAAATAAATAAATGAATAATCAAGAGTTAAAAACAATGCACAGTGGAGCTGTTACTATCTTGAATGTAATCTGTTTCTTAGGCGCTGTTTACACGAGAACGAAACGGGTTGTATCCGCTACTTTTCTCTCGCGTATAGCCCGCTCGTTCACACGAGACCGTAACGGAACCGCGTAAACGGACCCCGCAAACGATAACGGGTCCCAAGGTGGATAGATCTGCAAACGGAGCGCTCTGGGGGGCCAAACGGCTCCGTGTGTACACCTCTATACGATCATTTTCCTGATAACGATGAAGCCATAGCCCCACCTCTGCTGCTCACTGCTGTAGCATGGTCAGTAGCTACTGTCAGTAGCTACTGCTACTGCTACTGACCATGCTACAGATGTTAGTGCAAAACAGCTCCTCTACCACAACCATCAGCAACAACTGGACATGGAGAATTACATGAACTACATGTTGCTAAATCCACCGCGGAGAATAAACAGAAGGGCAACCAGGCAACCATGGCAACCATGCTCGGGGGTCTTCTTCGCTGCTTTTGGTGTATTTTGTGGCGGAAGTACAGCGCTACTTGCAGGCCTGGCATATGTACTACAGCGTCTCCAGCGGGTCGAGCGGTCTCGTGTGAAGGGACACGTTTATTGAGCCGTATCCGTGTGAACGGAAGACTTTTTTTATATCGAGTTCGGTTTCGTTTGCGTTTGCGTTCCCGTGTAAATGGGGTCTTAATCTATTAGCGTTAGCCAATTAATCTAAGACACTTAGTAAATAAGTACTTTTGAGGTAGTTAACTCAAAGTATGGCTTCTTTCCAGATTTCCAGATTTGGGGCAGCTGTAGGGACTTGGCTCGGGAACTGAAGGGTTGCCGGTTCAAGTCCTGAAGCTGACCAATAGTGTGTTGACTGGTAGCTGGAGAGATGCCAGTTCCACTCCCCTGGCACTGCCGAGGTGTCCTTTAGCAAGGCACTAAACCACAAACTGCTCCCTGGCCTCTTCGACCATTATAAAAAGGCATTTGTAATGTGTGTACAATAACAGAGTGGAAAACTGAATTAATCTTAGGGATTAATAAAGCGTAATCTTATCTGAATTTATAAGAGGTTAAAGGCTAATAAAAACACTTTTTCAAATAAGTTTCTTTTCTTTTAAAAATATTTCAAGCCTTTGTTGAATTAGATGTAAAAAACAACTTATTTATTAAAGAATAAATGAATTCCTGTTCTGTTATTGACATGCAGAGATTATTACATTACTCTGTCAAACTTGTATGGCCTTTCCTTGATGTGCCACCTCTCTTTGTTTGTATTTTTAGGTATTGCCTAAATTGATACTCCTTTTGTGTAAAGTCCTCCTCTCTGTCTACACCATCGCCCAACGTCCATCTGCAGTGTTGCTGACGCTAATCCCTTTTGCCCACACCTCTATAATCGTCTGTGATTCATAAATGAGATCATGCTAAATTCTGGAAAATGAAAGCCTGCTTCTGTCTTTGCAGCATGACTCGTCCTGCTTACTCTGCACTGCTTAGCTCGCCATTATGCGGTGCATTACTGAGCCATTAGTTCAGTTGATATAATGTCTCTCCCCCACATCGCCTCACCCTCACATGAGGGGCCAGTGGGGTCACTCCTTTTTTTCTTCTATGGTGTAGTGTCAGCGGCTCAGTCCCACTTGGCTTGGCAGGCTGTCAGGGAGCTGGGTATGGATGCAGTTCAGTTGGCAGTCGGCTAAAAAAAAAACACACACACACACACACACAGACAGACACACACACACACACACACACATGTCACTCTTGTGTGCTAGATTCTATGCCAGGCTATAGGCGGAGTGCACCCGCAGAACATCTCCTTTGGACCTAGATTCATTCGGAAAGCATGTCTTTTTATTCATAGAATCTCTCCAGTCGAACTGACAAGGTTGATTCCATTTGTCCATACTATCCGTGTGATTGTCTCAAGGGCAGAGAATCAGACAGACACCCCTGGCCGGGTCTATTTCTGTGTGTGTGTGTGTGTGTGTGTGTGTGTGTGTGCAGCACATGATCTGAGCGCCTTTGAGCTCACGTGAGATCCTAAAGTCCTTTTATACCTGCTCACGGAGCTCTTTTGGAAATATTATCTCAGCCACAGTCTCTTTTAGCTTTTAGTGTGAGTAGTCTGGCTCGCGTTCTAGATGTCATCGGAGTGGCTCGTCATTCAGTGTGTCATTCAGCGCTATGGGCTGGCCCAGCAGTCAGAAACCCAAGTGGTGCCATTGGGATGGCTAGAATTTCCTCCATCCATTTAGTCTGGCACACACACGCACACAATCATGTATTATTGTCCCATTGTCAAACATCTCGTGCATTAGGGCTGGGTTATATGATTATGTGCATGGTATTGATATGTATATTTTTCTATAGTGTTAAATGGATTATACCATTTTCTATGTGATTCAGATTTAAATTTTGCTCAATTTGAAGAAAATTGTTGGAAATGTACAGATTAAGAAGCTATAGATGGGTGTCTGAACTGAAGACTGTAATTATACAGTGGTTCAAAAATAAATAGTCCTGCCCAATTAATCAAAATGTTGTCGAAATCTCAACACAGACTAGTGGATTATCCAAATCGCAGTATTTGGTTAGAGCTCATTTTATCATATTTAAAAATATAATGTAAATAATCTCTCATAAATCATAATAAAATAAATCTCTCTTTATATCATAAATCATATCGCAACTGCAATATCAGTCAATATATTTTTGCAATGCCAAACTAAATTATTTTTAGTTTTAGTTTTTTGGAGGAAAAATGTCCAAAGTGAATGTCTTATATCCTCAGAAAGTGACAACCATTAACCTGTGATACAAGGGAAGAGGACATTTCACAGGGGCTTTTGTATTCAGTTTAAAAATATATATATTTCATCTTCTCCTTCCTGCCCTTTGTTTCTTGTAGAAGACTGATTGGGAGGTGGCCATCAAGAGCATTAATAAGAAGAACCTGTCCAAGTCCCAGATCCTTCTTGGCAAGGAAATCAAAATCCTGAAGGTGAGCATGACTCTAATTGCCTCTCAATTATCTCCTTGATGTATTTAAAGAATGATCCAACATTGACCTTCTCTGCACCTTTGACTTGACTTCCCTGATGGAAGTGTCAGGGAAAGTGACTCCATTAGCTGCTGGTTAATCCTTCTGCTAACGCTTCTTGTTTTTCTCTTCTGTATTTACTCAGGAGCTGCAGCATGAAAACATTGTGGCACTTTACGATGTCCAGGTAAGTTATTTTTATATCAATTTTATAAAAAGTTTGTGGAAAGTTATTTTCAATATTTATTTCTTTTGAGTGGAGTTTGCTATGAGACCTTTTGTCTCAATTTGTGTCCTACTCTACTTACATGTGCGGTTTTGAGTGTATAAATGCGTCCAATTGCGAAATGATCCTTAAGTTCCCGGATGGTGCTATTTACTTTATGAGATTAATTGAGCAGCCCGTTATGATTTGCTACAGCGAACGTTTCTAACAAGCTAGCTAGCTAACAGCGTTGATCGTCATTTCTGGACAGGGCACAGCAGCTGTTTGCGTTTTATGAAAAACTCAACACGGTCAGAATTCAAAGTTCTCACAGTGCACAACATGGCAGTCTACTAAGGTATGTGTCCAAATTGAGACACTTGAGCACTTTTCTGAACCAATATCTATGGAGTCAATGAATGTCAAATGAATGTCCTCAAATGCTTTGTGTGAAGAGGATCAATGTTGCAATCGGCTAGTAGCACTGCCCGGCTCTGTGTCGTCTTCTAGTGATTTGAGGTCGCATCTATTTTTGTTCTGCGTGCTATGAACGATTCACATCAAAAGTAAAAATGAAAATGATTTTTTGAGTATATTGACATCAGTACATTTCTACAGTTTCAATGTCAAATGTGTCACAGCATATCGTGCATATCATCTGTCTTTGCCGACTCAGCTGGCTGATTCAGGGTCGAACTACTGCGGCTCCATCAGTCCATTTGGCAGAGTTGTGCTGTATAGATTTTACAAAGTAAGGCTTCAGCTTCTATTACAAATATGAAAATGCGGGGTCTGTGCTGGAAGTAGGACTGTGTATTGGCGAGAATCTGGTGATGAAATACGTGTAATGATGATACAGCATTTAGCAGGAATTTTAGATATTATACGTTTTTCGTGAGAAAGACAAACCACAACAGGAAACGGTTAACCGTAGATTTAAAGGTGCATTATCAAAAGGTCTTTGTCAGAAGAAACCACACCAATATGGACTTTGGATGTTTAAAAAGATAGTCAATATTTGCTGTTCAAAAGAAGCACCACCCAAACAGACCCGTTTTTAATGGTTTTTCGCAAAACTGTGAGGCTGATGGAAAACATGAAGTATGACTCAATGGAAAATGAGATGCATTGTGCTGAATCTGAAAGGCCATACTGTCAGTACACGGTCACTTACAGTACACTGATTGATGGCCATCTTTAGGGCTCTTGAACTCCTGTTAAATGAGCACAAATGCCTCGGATCCCCTCTGGTCCCTGGCTGAGAGACCCTGTTATTGCATCTAGCAGACTGCTATATCACATATTCCTGACGCGTCCCTTTTAAGATCCCTTTAGATAAAATAAATGGTTTTAAAAATAAAAATGTGTTGCTAGAGGCCCAGTATTAGAGTGTATTTTTCATAGCTTACTGTTTCCTGCATTTATCAACGGTACTTGTTATTCATCCTGTATAGTGCATTGCTGATGTTATTTGTTGCAGGGTTGCTCTCTCTTGACTTATTGTGGGTGGTGTGATAGACTCCCACTTACTTTTAGGCAGGAGTTTGCAGCCACACCGCTTAAGCAGATGTTTGTATTTGTAATTCAGTATTTTTTATTCACTCTGACTTCAAATTATTTTTCTATCTGTGTGCATACATGAAACATGGCTATTAAGCCTATAGCATTGGTAATTTCTCCACATTTCTACAAACTATTGTCCTCTTTATATCACAAAAGTCCTTACCAGCCGATAGTAGAAATGTTTGTTATAGTGTCCCTAATTGGCCCTTACATTAGAGTATCCTTCCAATGAGGAGATACACAGGGAGGAAAGGGGAGAGGAGGCAGATAAAGTGATGATGAAGCACTTCCCACATAGTAATGGTACTTCCTGTGTTTACGTAAGCCTCCCACAGGGACTCTACTGATCAGTCCATTCACCCTCTTACTCCTCCATCAGTCCCCCTGATGTAATAAACTCTCTGAGGCAGACGGCTGAGGAGTCCAATCATTACTCAGCAGGCAGAATAAAGTACAATAGTTCCATCAGTGATGATACTGTATACGTACATAACTGTGATTTTAAGAACTGGTTCATGATTTTCATATTCGAAAAAACCAACCGTCTGTTCCTTGTGAAAAAAAAAGGAAACGATAACCTTAAAGAAAATGTTCATTTAGGTATTTATTTAGTAAGCATGCAGGAAAGCTATGTCTGGCTCAAATAAGATCAAGCCTTTATATATTTTTTTGTCTTTAAAGATAATTGCAGTAAGGAAATGAATGGCCCAAGACATTAGGACACTATAGATAGTAAGTCATGCTACTTTAGCGTTACTTCTTCGTTGTCAAAATAAAGTGATCCTGCCAAAAGACATAATTTAAATGGAATTTATAAAATGTTGCTTTTGCAGAGGCCAAACGAGTAACCTGGCTCTCTTCAAAAGCACCAAAAAACGACAAATCCATTAATCATATCTGTTCAGAAACTCGACAAAAGTTAAACAAGTACAAACCACAGACTGCCTGTGTCATGGCGAGTACAGTCGCTGGTTTATTTATGTCTGTATAGGCCGTTGTTGTGAGTGTGGACGGTCGGAGCATATACTGCGTTAGCTTAGCCAATCTCCATTCAGAAAACACGCATTTTAAAAGGTTTTTCGCCTGCCGTCTGTCTGCAGACTTGACAAAGCATTAATTCATGGTTTGTACTAACCGGTATCAGTATGTTGTTACTTCGGCATCATTTTGAAACGTGTATTACAATTAAATCACGGTCAAATATGTTCATCTTGTTGTAGTTGGAGCCCCCTTGCCAGCGATTCTCTCCCTAGTTTAGCATACTCAGCCCGGTTGTTGGCCCGGAAAGAACCACGATTTTGGAGGGCCAGAAAAACTGTGAAAAAGTACCCGTTAGCCGGAACTACCCCTCGTGGAAACGCATAAAAAAAACGGGCCGGGTTTGGCACGGAAAAGAGAAGAATTGGGAGGGATGAAACCCCTCTTTAATGGTCACACATGCAGAGCACACAGCACACACAGTGAAATTTGGCCTCTGCATTTAACCCATCCTAGTACCAGGAGTCTAGCACTAGGAGCAGTTGGCAGCTATTGTACAGCGCCCGGGGAGCAATGGGGGGGAAGGGGGATGTCCGGTGCCTTGCTCAAGGGCACCACGGCAGGGCAGGAGGTGAACTGGGACCTCTCCAAGTAGCAGTCCACACTCCACATTTTAGGTCTGGTCGGGGACTTGAACCGGCGACCCTACAGCTCCCAGTCCAAGCCCCTACTGACTGAGCCACTGCCGGACACTGCCGGACACGCTTAAACCGTGCTACGCGCTGCAGTGGAAATGCACTCGCATACACTGGTCTGGTCTAAGAGTGCTTTAGGCGTGGTGTCTCTCTGTGTCTTTTTCTTACCATCTGCTGTTTCTTCTTTCCATCCCCTGCAGCATGGGTCTGTCTTCTGGTAGCCAGTGTAATGGTGTACATTCCCTCTCTTGGTGACAATCAATAGTCTGTTTTTTGCAATCATTTGGTTACCACAACCAAGTGGGAGTAATTATTTTTTCCATATCTCACTTTTTCTAGTTTCTTGTCTCTACATTTGAATCTCCAGTTGGCTTCTTCCCAGCCCCATCAGCTGTTGTTGTTGTTTGTACCATGTGCTAGACTGGGTTTACCCAACAGAAGAGAAAATGTAACCCGAGCTGCTTTGTGCAACTTTCTTGTCACGCATAGCCTGTATTTTAGAAGGCATAGAGCTTTAGTTTACATCCTTTTTTAAATGTTTAACTTTTTTTGTAGCCCTAACTAAATTGCCATCCAACATTTGGATATTTGGACAGGCATGGAACAACTCCAGTTAAACATTTGAACACTGTCCATCTGTGTTGAAAATAGTATGTGAGAAGTGTATGAAAGAGACTCCTGCAACCATTCTTGCTTTTTGCCAATATGTTACGGGTTAATTATAAAAATTCAGACCAAAATGACCCATAAAACTTCTGACCTGTCCCCTGTGAACACTGCAGGGGGCTACTGATAGGCCTGCTGGCAGTTTGGCTTCTGTGAAAGGGCAAGTCTTTGAGGTGCTGTTTACACGAGAACGCAAACAGTTGTATCCGCTACTTTTCTCTTTCGTATAGCCCGTTCGTTCACACGAGGCCGTAACGGAAATGCGGAAATGGACCCCGCAAACGATAACGGGTCCCAAGGTGGATAGATCTGCAAACGGAACGCTCTGGGGGGCCAAACGGCTCTGTGTGTACGCCCTATACGATCATTTCCTGATAACAATGAAGCCATAGCCCCACCTCTCCCCACCTCTGCTGCTCACTGCTGTAGCATGGTCAGTAGCTACTGTCAGTAGCTACTGCTACTGCTACTGACCATGCTACAGATGTTAGTGCAAAATCTACAGCTCCTCTATCACAACCATCAGCAGCAAGTGGACATGGAGAATTACATGAACTATATGTTGCTAAATCCACCGCGGGGCATAAACAGAAGGGCAACCATGGCAACCATGCTCGGGGGTCTTCTTCGCTGCTTTTGGTGTATTTTGTGGCGGGAGTACAGCGCCACTTACAGGCCCGGCATATGTACTACAGCGTCTCCAGCGCTCCCGAGCGGTCTCGTGTGAACGGAAGAGTTTTTTGATATCGTATTCGGTTCGTTTGCGTTTCGTATGCGTTTGCGTGTAAATGAGGTCCGAGTCAACAGAAGACCATGAAAGGGGATGACGGTCAGAGTGTTTGACCTTTTTGAAAATAGTCACGCTGCTTATGCAGTGATTCACCTGGTTCAGGACTGCAGGTACTGACACACAGAAGGCCCAAGAAATGGAGTTCAAGCTAGATATTATGTGCAGTTTGGAGACTAGAGGAAGAAATGCTTAATTAAGACTAGTGGAACCCCACTTTATTACTTTGTGGGCAGTAAGAATGTCTCGAACATGTCTCTTCGTGCCTTAATTTCCTTTTTTGCCTTTGATGA